AGACTTAATTACTAGTTTGTTATTGAAAGATACATGATAAAATCATTATGCCATGATTACTCTGGTGACATAAATATATAAGCATGCACAAGTAGGTAAGTACACACCATAAGAATGCACCTGTAAAGAGATAACATTGAAAATGCATAAGCAAAAATATGGATTCTTATACATGTGCATTCATTACTTTTGTAAACCTAATATACAATTTACAACTTGCCATATTACCAAACCTTACCAATCATACAAAAATTTGAAAAATATTAGTGCAAGAATGCGCACCAATTATGGCAAACAAAAAGAGTGAACGAATTGCATCATCAAAGAAATAAAGGTCCTTTAAAAACACTTATAACTCATTATATGCATCTAACCATTGAATGCCCGTAGACGAAAGTCTTCTAATCGAAAGAAACAAAAAGGATCTGAATTGGAGTATAGGGACGCCCAGATAAAGAGCCCAACTCATTACAAATCAATACATCACAAGATCTAACTTCACTCATGCCTCTCTCACATCAAATTGACCGTCACCCCTACATAATGATTCTCTCAATCATGTAGGCACGACCCTCCATTATGATTAGTGGATCATGAATCCAATTATTAGATATAAGAAAGAATGAACCAACAACAACAACAACAACAAACATTTATCCCACTACATGGAGTCGGCTACATGAGTCTTTTTTTCCATTGTCTTGTGTCATGTTAAGAGTTAAATTCTCATTTAAATCTAATAAAGAAAAGTCATTTCTAATATTTTCTAACCAAGTCTTTTAGAGCTACCTTTACCTTTCTTAACATAGGTCAAATCTAATACATCTACTCTTCTAATAGGGTCATCGGAAGGCCAACGTTTTATAGGACCAAACCATCTAAGGCGACTCTCTTTAATCTTATCTATCACTGGAACTACTCCAACATTTTCCCATATATGCTCATTTCGTATCCTGTCTCTAAGAGTAAGTCCACTCATCCATCTGAGCATCCTCATCTCAGCAAACAGCAACACTTAACTTAATATTATGCTTCACTTTTAATGATCAACATTCTATGCCATAAAGCATTGCAGGTCTCACCACCATCTTATAAAATTTTCTCTTAAGATTGAGTGGTAATTTTCTATCACACAACAAACATGAAGCATTCCCCCACTTCAACCATCCAACTTGAATTCTACTAATAATATCCATGTCTACTGCACCATCACTCTGAACAATAGACCCAAGATATCTAAAAAGTGTACACTTATTAATGAATTGATGGCTCAAAGACACAAACTCCCCACCATATATAATACTACTAAAATTACAATCCATGTATTTGGTTTTAGATCTACTTAATTGAAAACCTTTAGACTCTAAAATTGACCTCCATAATTCAAGTTTACCTTCAACTCCCTCTCTAGTCTTATCAACAAGAAGAATATCATCAGCAAAAAGCAGACATCAAGGTACATCCTCTAGCAAATGTATAGTGAGAACATCCATGACTAAAGTAAAAAAGATAAGGGCTTAAGGCTGATCCTTGATGTAATCCAACAGAAATAGAAAAATACTTGGTCAAATCACCTTGTGTTTGAACACAAGTAACAACTGATCCTTGATATAATGCTTGGGTTCGCAATTGATTTATTTAGAATGATCGGGGTGGAGCAGAAGTTGGTCAAGTTCCTATGATTTTATCCTCCTGGGTGAACCAACGACCTAGTATAGTAAAAAAATAGTATTTTAAACCATAATGTCCAAATCATTTGATTCGCTGCCATGGATTATCTCATCTACGGTACCCCATGTATACCAAGGTGAATGCATATTGTATTTTATTGATGGATTTAGTTTTGGTTAGTGGGCTTTTGGGTATGAGGATTGCCACGAGTTTGGGTTGGGTTATAACCATTTCAAAGCCCAAATTAATTAGGATGAAGCTTATGTCCATTGGAAAGAACAAGTTCTGATTTAGGGCTTTAATGCCTTTCCCAAATTAATAGTTAGCGCTTAAATTTATTGGAAGGCTCATAAGCAAGACTTACAACCTCGAAGAAGAGGAAAGCCTAACAATGGGTCTTTTAAGCATGACCATGTAAACAAGGTGGCTAGATATTTATCATTTGAATTCTTAAATTGCATATTATGTACAAATTTAACTTGATTTGATGTTAGGGGATTATTACTTTATTTGTGAATGGTCAAAAAGGTTCGACACTTGCAACCCTACTTTCAGCATGCCCTTATGTGGGACTTACAACTCATATGTTGAAATTAGTTCAATGATGGGTCATATGATCTTGTCTCATAGGCAAGGAAACCCATATAACGGGTTATTATAACCCTACCTTGCGAAAAAGTCAACACAAACGAGATTGGGTTTGCTGATTTTTTCTTTCAATGTGGCATGCATTTTAATGTGTATATTGAGGCGATTGCTCACCAAGGCCCTTGGATTAATTGGGAGGTAACAAGATCAAACTCGGGCCCTTGGCCTATTTGCCAAATTAATTGGGTCAACATTAAGTGTATTTAAATAGATTCATTTAATCATTTTTTCCCGTGCACTCGCATAAAAATTGGCTCCAATCAACCATTTATAACATTTCTAAAATTTCATACCTATCTTGAACTTAGGATCAATCTCCCATGTAACGACACTTAAGAAAATTAACAATCAAGACACCTTTCTTGGCTGGTTCTAATTTTCTTGAAAGTGATTCAAGTTTTTTTCCCCACCTTAAGACCTCTGTGATTTTGAGAATGTTTACATTCGGTTATAGGTGTTACAACTAGGGGTGCAACTGAGACAAGCCGACTCGCGAGTAGGCTTAAGCTCGTGGGTCAAGCTTATCAAGTTTCGAGCTCGATTTCATTATCAAGCTCAAGTTCGACCCTAAGGAAGCTCGGCTCGACTACTCGTTGAGCAGCTCACTAGGGGGGGGGGGACGGACGTGGATGCATAATGCATGCAAAATAGTAGTGCGCTCTAGTAGGGCGCACAAGATTGCAAGGCGGACTCGAATGCAGACGTAGGATCACAGGCGAAATGACGAGGTGAACGTGGACGCGGGATGGTGGGCGGAATGGCAGGCTTGTAACGTTGTAACGCATACTCAAACGTAGAATCGACAACCGGCGGTGGACGCAGAAGGTTGGCACGAACATGGAATCGAGCCGCTCAACGAACTAGTTTCAGTGTCACAAGTCGAGCTCGAGCTCGTTTTTTGAGTTCGACTTGAGTTCGATATTGAAATTTGTCTTGCGAGTCGAGCCCAAGTTAGTCCTGACTTGAGCTTGAGCACGATTCAACTCGTTTGCAACTCTAGTTACAACCATGTGCCAATAAGAGGAAGCCAAATTTTGATAAATGGATCCTATTGGTACGCATGCCATACATGGTTTTAGCAAAATTACAAGCCATGCCATAAAATAACAACATTTTTTAACTTAGGATATTGATTTTCTCACTTAAACAAAGCAATATCACTAAGTTCAATAATAACTACAAACAAGCAACCAGAAGCCGGCTCATGGGCATCTATAGCATGCAAATTACCAGCCTCACAAATAACATCAATAGAACCAAGCTGCTTGGCATTCCGTCAACTTGGTTTTATTATGTTATGTTTAAGAAATATTGAGATATGGTACATGTATTAGTATGTCCTATTAATTTGTCCGTATTATGTAAGGATAATGATTAAAACAATTAACATGTTGAAATATATATATATATATATATATAATTTGATGCGGACCGCCTCCGACCGGCAGAGGAGGAGCCGGGCTGGCCGCCGCCGACCGGCAGGGGACGAGCCGGCGACCCCGGAGCACGCGACCTCGGCCAGGAAGGAGGCCGCGCGGGTCGATCCGCCGAAGGTGACGCGGGCTCGGGGCGAGACGCGGAGCGGAGCGGGGGGTCAGCTTGAGCGGAACCGGTCCATTTCTGGACCGGTTTGGCTCGGGTCAGGCCTGAGCTGGGCGGTTCAGCTTGGGCAGCCCACTAGTGGGTTTGGTTTGATCTTTTGCTTGCTATAAGTGGGGATTAAGGGGGGATTTTTAGGGTTATGCAGGATTTGAGTTTTCTCTTAGCCTCCTTAGTTTCTTTCTCTTGTTTTTCTAGGGTTTGTAGTAGGAGACCTTGTCCTTCTCGAAGTGGACAAATTGTATCTTGTTTCTCTTGGATTTTGAATGCAAATGTTCTTGTTCTTCCTCTCATCCCTCTTGTGTTGATTTTTTCTTGGATTTGGAGGAGAAATTTCATCTTGAAGGAAAATTAGGGCAAACCCTAATTTGTGAAACCTAAGGCGTATCAAAGTCTTACTGCCACATAGATATAAAAACTGGTCCAAGTAGTGCTGTAACTTGACCAAATCAACCATGAACAAGATAACCATATCATAGAGAGGAAAAACAGATGACCTACTGGTGCTTACTAGCGCCTAAATCAGTACAGCAAGCTCTATTGATAACTTTCTTGGGCAATGCATGTTAGGATTCCTACCATAAGAAGTCTATAATCTGTCATTAGATATACTATAATCTCCTCCAACGCCCTAACCCTCATAAACCCTCTGTATCCATAAAAACCACATACGCCAATCAAGAGAAACTGATTCGGAAATGCTGATTCTGGGATAGGTTTAAAATTTTCCATATCTTTGCTGTATGCACATCATTAGTTAAAGTTTGCTTATTATGTCTTATTGTAAGGTACTAAAAGAATAAAACAGTAGGGAAAATAAGTATAATTTTTATTTTATACCAAATTTTGACTCATTGCAATGCTCTTTTTATTCATCAAGCACTTACAATTTAAAGCACACGAGAACAAGAATCTGACAGCAAAAAGTGAGTTATTAGCATGTAAATTACATTAAGTACGAATGTTAATCCGCACAAGCAAATATCGTTAGGAACTGCAAACAAAATGGAGCCTAGATAGATAACAAAAACGTTCACAAAACAAGAAGAAATATCAATAGAATTTCTTGGCAGGGAACATACTCTTCGTCAAAAAGAATCTTAGCCCGCTTATGCTGAGCATCCCTGTCCATGTCATCGCTGCTAATTCTCTCCGCAGCATGGAAATCTGACCCATCCAACTCCACGCCCTCCATTTCTTCAGTAATTTCCTCCCCAGGATTCTGCTCTAATCTGCTTCCAAAACCCAAGTCTTCCGAGCAGCTAGAACTCCCAACAGTCAACTCAAAGGGTGAGAGCCAACTGCTCCTCCTGCCCAGGGACGAAGATGCACCACTCCATCCCCAATGCCCGATCGACAAACGCAGATCCAGCTCCTCGGACTCTCCTACATCCTCAATCCCGACATCCATCCCATTAACCCCCTCCGCCGCCGTTGCTTTCGACCGCCGTTCCGCCATCTCCGAAACACTCCAAAACCATCAACAGCTCTCGCCACTCCAAAACACGACCATATACCAAATCCACGCCTTCTCCAGCCTACCACCGCAGATCAAAGCCCGATGGGAGTACCGCAGCCCCAGGACTGTCGATCCTACTCTGAACCCTAGAACCAGGCCAACAAATCGAACTCGAGAAAAATGACGAAATCTTCCTACCGTCCTCAACAAAAACCAAAACAATGAAATAGCAGTCGAAGAATCAGCAGACGACGTATCTTCTGAAAGATCCTCTTCTCTACTCTACTTCGCCGGAGATAAACGCGCGCATCCGAGTGGAGAAGTGAAGATGAAATCTGTATTTTTTTTTTTTTTTAATATAATTCCTTTCCTCTGCTGCCCTGCTTTCTTTTTTCGCACGCTTTTTAAAATTTTGCAGACCTCGATGAGAAAAGTAATAAACTCTTACACCCACGGTAAACAAAACCCAGACCGTACCCCTCACCTCTAATCGCCACGTAAACCTTTTCCACGTGGCAATTCATTAAGAAGCCACGGTGGACGTAACAACCTGTGACGTTGCAATTTGCATTAAGATTAGGGCTTTCGCAATTTCAAAGATGTACAAAATTTATAATTATAAATCACTTATTTGATTAATTTATTTTTATTTATAAGTTTTTTTCAGAATTATTAAATTAACTTTTTTTATTACAAAGTTTAAATATATTTGTGCTTGTAATTTTTTTAGACAAAATATTTAAATGAAAATAAACTAATGATAATAATTTAAAGATAAATAATAGATTTTAAAAGTAGTTATTTTAATATGAAAACTCATTAATTTATGAAAATAATTCATTTACAGGGCTCAATGATATAACAAATGATATGAATGTCATGAAGATAATTGATATTCAGTATTATAATGGGGAGAAATTATTTTGTACGGTGATCAGATGTAGGACTGGGTCCACACTCCAATGAAATCGTGCACGTGAATATTAAATATATATATTTTTATAGCTTGTGACCAAACGACCTGACCCGACCCAACAAACTCAATTAGCGCTCATTTTTAAGAAAACAACTAGGGAAAAGTCCCTAAATTTTATGGTTCCTAAATTTTAGAGTTTTAGAGGAATAATTTTTTTGGTATTGAGAAAGAAAATTGGTAAATAGGCGATGAAGATGGAGACTAGTTTGGAGAGCATTCATTTTTCTAGGAGATGACATGGTGTAGGCTTCAACTTATCAATAAATTTGAAACTACTCATAAGTTTTGTTATATTTTCTTTACTAGTACATTTTATTAAGCTTAATTTTTTCAACAAAGAAATCTTTCGTTGAAACAACTACAACGGGCCAATTTTCACCTTCAAGGCAAATCAAGTTCTTAAACATTCTTGAATGCTACAATTAGGAAATTTTTAAAATGTATTTTTCAATTATTTATATATCAAATGCCACAAAGAGGAACAATTTTCGTTTTCAAATGCATGCTTCTGTAAATAACATATATATATATATATAATTTTAGAAAATTCATTTATTCTTTCATTTTTTTTGAACTTATATGTCACCGTGTGTATAAAAGAGAAATTATCTTTGAATTATATTTTTTCCCGATACACGTTGTATTGACTGTGTTTTTGCATTTTAAAAGTTAACATTCAAAGATATGAATGATTTATATGATGTTTTTATTCATTTTGTGATGTTTTTTGAACTTGTATGTTTGTCTATATAGAAGTTACATCATTGATATACAGTTGATAAGCAATAAATACATAGCAAATACTTAGAAAATATGCAAGAAATATGTAGTAAAATTTTGTTTTAATATTTTTTTCATTTGTAGATGTTTTTATATTTAATTGAGACAAAATTCACAAAAAGGTTTTTATATTTAATACTATACATGTGAAAAATGTGAGAGGTATAAGGTTTGATATTATATATATATATAATACTTGGGAGCATAAAGGCTTTATATTGTACATGTGAAGTACCTAGGAAGTATAAAGACATGATATTATACATGTAAAATATTTGGGACTGGTACTT